TTTTGGGTTATATATCTTTTGGCTAGGGTATGTTTGTTGGTTTCTGCTGGATTATATCCTTGAGATTTTCTGGAATAGATCACCATTCGTTTTTTGTTTATATTTAATAGACTGGTTCAGGATATGATTTTTTATTTGGCTTCTATCGAGGCGTTTACAAGCCTTTCAACATCGCCATCTCTACAAAATTTCTAGTGGTAGCTTGAAATTTAAGCTTTGAGAATTCGTGCTCTCATGGAGGCAGAGTCCGCTAATAGACATGAGAGCATACGATGACCAAGTTGAGATGTCATGATGGTGATGTTATTTATCACCTTAAGGTGGGAGATGTTAAAATTCTCAAACCTGAAACTTTATTCCTCGTGATGGATAACACCTATTGGTGTTTTATTTGAAAATTTGTATTCTCTTCATACTGTTTTTCGGTCTTAATAACATTGTCATTCAGTATTAAAAAGAATAGACTTTGTGCTCTCTCAATCATCTCATCAAACAATTTTCAAGTTCGATAATCTCTTCTATAAATTTTATTTCAGCTTTTTCATTAAAAAAATAATATCGATTACTCACTTTTTTGATAGGTAAAGTAGATCACATCGATTTATTTTAGTTGTGAGATTAATAAAAAAACTATAACTAGACTTTTTTTGTTATTTTTTACAACATATATATCACCAACTATTTAACAATATACCATTTAAATATAAAATGTGTTTATCGTCGTATAATAGTATCTCATTATCGAAAGTGGAAGGCGAGAAAATTATGAAAAATAATGGAGAAATTTTATGAAATGCTACTTTTCAAGTGTCACTTTTCAAAAAATACCACATTTTTAAAATATTTGCAAAAATGCCACTTTTCAAAATTATTTTTTCATTCTATCATTTATGTTTGAGTTAACTATGTTGTATTAGGGTTTAGTTTTGAGGGCTTAAGGGGATTTAGGAGTCAACATTTTTTTTAGGGTTTATAATTTTAAGATATAGATTTAAAAATCCATAATTAGTGGTATTTTTGCAAATAGACACCCCTATGTGGCATTTTTGCAAATGTACACACCAAAATATGAAAGTAGATATATAAGTAGGTACATGAAAGAAAAAAACCTAATTCAATTAGGAGTATAAAAAAATAATTATTTGGAAATATGTGACAAATTTAATTAAAAAAATATATAATAAAAAGAGTTAAAACAACTTAATAACGGTGAAACTTTTCTACTATGGTATTGCTCTTTTCTGTTTTGTTGTTTTTCACATATGATAAAATATTTATAAAACTGAAAAATTCAAATAGGAAAACGAGTAATTAATTTATTAAAGTAGATTAGTGAAGTAGTAAAACCTAAATTACTTTATGAATAGAAAAAAGGCTAATTTGCTTAATAACCAAAAAATTAATAAATAGAAAACTACCTAAAACTAACCTATGTGGCATAATCATATTCATTAGATATAGGTTAATTGGTTATGTTTTGAATTATAATTTTTTTTGGGTTATTCAACCCAATTTCCCTAGAAAAAGGGGCAATTGCAAAAATGCCACTTTTGGTGTGTACATTTGT